AATTTAGAGAAACGTAAGAGAAACGTCATTCATCGACATGGTGCCTATTTCAACTAAATAATTTTGTTATTTAACATTTCAGGAGCGTTTTATTCATTTCCTATAAAGTGCGTCATTTCGTGTGTGACAACCTAACCTATATATATATATATATATATATGTCCAAATATAGGATTGCTATAGACGGAATAATATTACAATAACTAAAATCACTATTCTTAAAAGAATGCTCAATACAGAGTAGAGCAAATATTTATTCAAAAATTATAACATAACGTTTATATTATAATTTTTGAACAAATAAAATATACACACACACACATATATATATATATATATATATATATATATATATATATATATATATATAAGACTAACAAAAGTTTAGATAGAGAAATATTAAAAGATTAGGCTACGAAGGCATATATTTAATGAGAGTAGTAGAAGATATATAATAGATTGCAACACTTATAGACAGAATGTAATTGTATTAGATTTTGGAGATCTGAAAAAATTGAGATAGATAGATAGATAGATAGATAGATAGATAGATAGATAGATAATCATGTGTTACCAAACTACTTCATTGGTTCCTTTGTTTTGACATGATTCACAAGTAAGTTATTCAAACGTGTGAACAACAGGATTATGCTCTTTGAAGAAAGTCCGATCAAAGACTTCTGGACCTAAACAACAATAGATGGAGAAAAAATTGCATGTCTATATTTCTTTACTGCAGGTGTCGAAATAAAAAAAATAACTTTGTCAATTTATTATTGCTTTGATTGCAGACAAGAAAAAAATTCTTCATCCTTTGAGGATTTTGTCTCACGGGGAAGAGGATTTGGCTCCTATATTATTGATTGCTTCTTAGCTTTTTGTAAAATAAAAGAATCACGACTGACAAGCGATGTAGAAACTCCAATTTTGTTTTTGGTACGCGAATATTACAACACATTTTTCAACGTATTTCCTTTCTTTTCCATAGTCCATCATTTTACTGATATTAATGTATCAGTAGTTTCTGCACTGTAGGAAGCCAAATTATAAGTGATCTCTTCAGTTTTCAACCTTTCTGAGGTTTTTATTAACTCTGCTACGCCCGACATTTGTTTTTTTTTTTATTATTTCCTTTAGTTTCGGCTTCCCGTCTTTCCTTGAGGGAAATTTATGTGGACGCGTGTTTTATACCAATATTCTACGATTTCTCAAGCGACTGAGTGGACACCTGATCTTTTCGCTCCTCTTCAGACATTTTTTTTTTACTCTCCTTCATGAGAGAAGACACATAACTTCCCTCGTTACAATCACGTTTACAATTTCTCAATTTTTTCACAATCTTTCAACAATTATCCTGCCTTCTTGTACGGAGAAAATAATCGAACTTCTCTTTAATATATTAAATATTAGCTTGATGTCACGATTTTCGAGAGCGCCAACTTTGTTATGATATTTACTAAAGTTAACTATTATCACGTCACGTCACGAGACACGTAATCCATTAAAGTTGTAGGGGTGCTTTATGTACTGCAGCCATAGCAGTAGTGGAGACTATCCCTCAAGGCAAGTGAGCCCAGTTTGCCCTACTAATTAACCCAGGCTTGGATGAAGAAGTCTTTTTCAAGGGAATCGGAGTGAAACGGTATCGATCTGGAACTAAACTCGGCACGCCTATTTCATTTTTCTCGTCGATAACCATTACCCTAGTTGCACCTCTAGTCTGGTGAAATAAGGAAGAAAACGAGCGAAGGAAGATTATGTTCTTCCATTTATCCGAATGGAAACATCGTACCTGTTAGGTGGTGCTTACTCACTTCTCCCTAGAAAGGACGGTAACTCAAAATACAGTAGAGTTACGTCCCTTGCCCGCCAGTTGGACTGCGGCACTTCTGAATTCAATATGGTGATAAGCTGAGACTCACGTGGAACTCATGATTTAAATAAAAAAAAAATTGCTGTTCTCAGGCATTATATGAATAAATTTTATTTTATTATGTGTTAAAATGCACTTGTCTTTTATTTTTCATTCGTTTTTGCTTATCCCAACAACTTGGGATATAACACTACTCATTTTAAAGACGACATTCAAAATCTTCAACAGCATACTTTGATATCCTAATCTCCTCAGCGATTTTAAATTGACATTTCGATAAGTTTCATCCCCTTCTCCGAACCTAATCTCCCCATTTTGAAACCTAAATCAGTGACAATAAAAAGACAAATTAAAGGCTCCAGGATTTCTGCAAACATAAGAATCTAGGATGATGCTAACCTTGAGTGGTGTCAAATGGATCATAACTTCTGCATCATAGTTTCCGTATCACGATGAATTCAGATCTGTATCTCCTTTCATTTCTACAGAAGGATGCTAAGGATATCATGGACCGAGAGTGTGAGCAACGATGAGATCTTGGAGAGGATGCAAACAATGAGGAGACTTATACTTAACATCAGGAAGAGGCAACTGAAGTTTCTAGGACACGTAATGAGAAAGGAGGGCCTGGAGAATCTGATACTCACAGGTCGAATAGAGGGAAAGAGAGACAAGGGAAAGCAACGCATGACATACCTGGCAAATAGAGGTGGCAGAGGAACGAAAGTTATTGAGAGCTACACGGGATAGTGGGGAGTAGAGAGCCATGATCGCCTACGTCCTGAAAGGACACGGTACATAAAAAGAAAAGTAATATCCTTTCATAATGTTTTCACGGGAATACGACTTGAATTATAATCCTGAATGACCACAGACACAACTTGTGAAAGTCTATTGTCAAATTCTTACAGTTTCTTATCAAATTTCAGCACATTGAGTTTATGTATGGATGACACATTTCTTTTGTTCGCTACTGTATGTGATATTTTTCTATAGTCAAATTTAAAAATCTTTTAGGTCATTTTTGATTAGTTTCCACCATTTTATACCCAAGCTGGCAAAGAAATGCCAATTTTTGAATGTCTGCTGTTGTTTTCATATTATACTAACTCAGCACTGGTATTTTAAGTCATTATGTTGCTCTTCTGAACATCCTGTGTCATCACTTTTGGGGCTCTGATAATGTCTGACTGTTTTGTGAATAATGTACGCATCGGTATTTTTTTTCTTTCAAGCTTTCAAATTTTTCCTTGTAATATTTTTTGTTTCTACGTTTTCTTATTACTGCTGCATTTCACTTATTTTCTTTTTAAACCCAACTATTTAAAAGAACAAATATTTTCTTGTTACTTTATCTTTCTTAAGATTTCAACTATCGTCAAATAGAGGTCACCCGTTTTTCGAAAGTCATTATTTTTTTTCCTTCATTATCAGTTATGATTTTTCCGAAATATGTTTTCTTGGAAATAATATTTCATAACTCTTCAATTCCTCGCCTTTCTTTCTTTTATAATCGTTTTCATCAAACCTGTCTCTTTTAATCAATGTGCTATTTTTTTTGTTTTACTTGCCCTCCATGTTTTTAGTTTCTTATTTATTTCTATAACTTCTTCCGCTTTTCCGTTAACGTCTATCCGCTAATGTCCTTTTTTTCTTCTTCGTTTCACTGTATTCAATACACTTATCATCATTATTACTCTAACTTTTCTTTGTAACAACTTACTATTCTTTGAAATTTTCATATTATTTACTATCACAATTAATAATAATATTTTTCTTCTTTCTTTTCATTTGCTTTACTATAACTACCACAACGTCGACAACGACTATTAATATTACTATGCTCTTTCTTTTTTTTTTTTTCTTGTCCCTCCTCTCTGTATCCAAAATCTATAAATCTACTACTGCTATTATTTCAACAATGGTGGCTACTTCTGTTGCTGATACGTTTCCATCCAACACTTACGTATGTCATTTCTTGGCTTCTTCTCTTGTGATATTTACAAAACTGAGCTTCGTACTGCGCAGTGCAACAAGTTTCAGACACCCAGTGAGGATCGAATTCACTTTAGCAATAATGGATTACAACGCTAGTTTATAAGTCACTATTCCGCAAAGCGCCCTTTCCGCCTTCTCTGACGTCACGTTTTCATCTTTTTTTTCTCTTCTCCCTTTCCCTCTTCTTTTTCACAATAATTTCTTCTCCCGCTTCTTTTTCTACTTCTTATTTGACAAATATTATTTCCCTTATTTTTTTACTATATATATATATATATATATATATATATATATATATATATATATATATATATATATATATATATATATATATTCTTTTCATACGTTTAGATGTGTTTTTTTTTACCTTTTTTTTAATATTCGATATTCTGTTTAGTTTTTCCGCCCACTTGTACCGAAGAATAAGAATAAAAACATATAAACTTGAACTGAATTAAGAATTAAAAAAAAACAAAAATAAACAATATAATTGCATTGTATTGTTCATCCAGTCAAATTATCAAGTCCTTTAGTGCCTCGCTCTTTTTGTTATTTCGACATTCTTTCTTTGCTTCTTCCATTTCACTAAACCCTTCCCTTCTATTCACTATTCAGACGTTGCCAATGCGTATATGTATGTACATGTGTGTGCTTGTGTGATGGTTCTGTCTTTGAACTCTATCAATGTCTATATTGCTTTCTCAATATGTAACTGTTTATCATTACTTTATTTCTCTTTCCAACTGTCTTAATTTCTCTGATATTATCCGTCTTCTCTACTCCCTGTTTTATTTTTTCTTCATAGTTTCATTGTTTTTCTTTTTCTATCTTCACCTCTATTTTCACTTCCTCCAACCCTCGCAATCTTTAACTCTTTTTATCACTCACTCTCTATCCTAATTTTTTTTCGAACTTTCTTCACTATCAGTTTTCCTGAGTGATGTGGGTGGACATCTTTTATTTTGTTTCTTCTTTCTCTTTTAAATTTTGTTCTTTCTTCCTTTTAGCAGTGATTTCTACCCTTTTTTTTTTCTCACAATTTCTTTCTTCATTTCTTTATTTATTTACGCAAATTTCTCCGATTTTCCCATTTTTCTTTTTATATTTATTTTTATTTATTCTAATTTCCATGATATTCAACGGTATTTCTTTCTTTCTTTTACTTTCGTTCATTCTTTCTTTCTTTCTCTCTTTCTTTCTTTCTTTCTTTCTTTCATTCAGTCGTTTTTTCTTTTTTTCGTTCATTCATTCGTTCTTTTTTCTTTCTCTTTCTTTCGATCATTTTCTTTCCATTTTTCTTTCTTTCGATCATTTTCTTTCCTTCTTTCTTTCGTTCTTTCTTTCGTTCTTTCTTTCGTTCTTTCTTTCTTTCTTTCTTTCTTTGGCTATCTTTGCTTCTTTCCTTTCTCTTTATTTTTATTTACACGCAACGTATTCTTTCTTTCTTTTATTCAGTGATTCTTTCTTTCTTTCGTTCATTCGGTCGTTCTTTTTTTTCTTTCTCTTTCTTTCTATCAATTTCTTTCCTTTTTCCTTTCTTTCTTTCTTTCGATCATTTTCATTTGTTTATCCTTTCTTTCGATCATTTTCTTTCCTTATTTTTCTTTCTTTATTTCTTTCTTTCTTTGTTTTCGATGTATCTATTTATTTATTTCCTACTTTCTTTTAGGTGTCTTTCATTTTCCTGACGATTTTTCATCCTTTCTTTATTTCTTATCTCATTCATAATTTTAGATTTCTCTTTTATTCATTTTTCTTCTGTCGTCCTCGATTTATTCCAATTACTATGTCTTTTCTTTTCTAATTCATTTTTTTTCAGAAGAATCGAAATTAAATTTATTTTTCTGATTAACCAAAACTTTTACTAGTTTTACTTCTTAGCTTTTTTTCTCTCTCATTTTTTTTCCTTTTCAATCATCTTCCAAAATTTTCTTCACAGCTGGATGCGTCAGAATGTAATTAGTACCTTAGAATCCGAAGGTAAAATTACTGAATACAGCTCTTATTTTTTAAATTCTTTTTATATTGTTGCTAATATCTTTTTTGGCTTTGTCCAGATGGTTGAGAAGAAACACGAATGACGACGTTCGATAGGTGAAAGATCGAACAAGATTTCGACTGAATGTTATCAGTATTTTGCGTTGGACATAATTTGAAGATGAGTGCTGAGCAGGTCACCTGCAGATTAATTAGATTGGTGAGTGCAGATTGGAAAATAATTCAAATAAAACTTTTTAACGTATAAACTAATTTTATCTTTATTTGAAAAGCTGAGCTTTTGTTTTTATAATAACTAATATGTTTTAATTATACTTAAAATAATTTTTAATGATGAGAACATGGGTCTTCATGATAGACTTTAGATAAGATTTTGGGTCACCATTGAAAAAAATGATAAGAACTACACTGTGAAAACGGTGTGTAAATATTGCATATTTCTATTATTCAATCAGTTATGTGCTATGCGTGATTCATGCTTAGGCGATCGTGTATCTTTTGACACATGACTGATGAGGCAGATTTTTTTCCTGCAGTAGGTTGCCATTTCTTTCTGCGGTAAATCAGTTGTCATCTCTCTGTCCAGTTATTTACCCATAGCTGTAGGGAGAAGAACAGGATTCATACCTTTCCCAAGGGTATTAGCACGTAAGTGGATGTCATGGATTCGACTGGAATTCGAACTCAGCATATATACAAGGAATCAGTCAGTTATGTGCCATGCGTGATACACGCTTAGGCGATCATGTATCTTTCGATACCTGACTGACGAGGCAGATTTTTTTCCCGCAGTAGGTTGCCATTTCTTTCTGCGATAGACCAGTTGTCATCCATCTGTCAAGCTATTTACCCATAGCTGAGGGAGAAGAAGAGGATTCATACCTTTCCCGATGGTATTAACACGTAAGTGAATGTAATGGCTTCGACTGAAATTCGAACTCGGCTCTCCGATTCCTCAATCCGCAATCCATTACTCCACCGTCCCTCCTTTTTTTTATTATACTTTACTAATTTTACGTTGTGCAGTATTTAATGATAAGAGCATGGGTCCCCATGAGAGACATTAGATAAGTTTGGTAACCAATTTTTTTCAGAAGTTATGCTTTTAAAGAGATTCTTTCAAAATCCTGGTGAAGCTGATGGAAGGAGCTGCAATGACCACTGGGCGCAGATGGTAAGAGACGACCATTTTCGACTAGCGAGAAAAGTTCATTTGTAGTTCAATGTAGACATAAATACCAGTTTTGTAACCTTTTTTTTACATTAAAAACCATAGTAAATCTATAAGATCTCGTATTTTTCTGTTTCATAAAAGTCAGAAACTAACATAAAAGAAATGCTTTGCAAGCGAGTTCCACAATTCTGAACAAGAAATATTGCATTGGTTTAGTATAGCTTAATAAAGCTATCTGATGAAATAAGATTCAAAACGGGTCGCAAATTAGCTAATTAAAATTACTATACAGAACTAGTTAGTTCCAGTTTTACAATTTTCGTTATTGGTACTTTATTTTTGGTCTGCGTAATATGTGGTTAGAACGTTCGCATTCTAACCATGAGACTCGGGCTCGAATTGTTGTTCATGGTGACGGTCATCTTTGAGTGTAGAATCCAGAGGTTAGCAGTGAATATTTTGAAGATAGTAGGGAAGTGTAGTTCAGGTTAGCAGTGGATATCCCGGTAAAGTAGCAGAGCGTAGTTCTTCCTTCTGTTCCTCTTCGAAAAGGATGATGTCATGGAGTTTTTGTATTCTAAGCTAGCCAAAGAATTTCGTTTCCCACAATTCATATCTCGATTCATTCCCGTAAAAATATAGTCGTGATCTGGGCTCATAACCAATGTTGTTCATGATGACGGTCGTCTTTGAGTATAGAATCCAGAGATTAGCAGTGAATATTTCGAAGACACCAGGGAAGCGTGGTTCAGGTTAGCAGTGGATATCCCGGTAAAGTAGTAGGGCGTAGTTCTTCCTTCTGTTCCTCTTCGACTGACAAGCTGGTACTGGACATTCGGATAGAGTAAACAAAATGGCCGCCTTTATACACGACGGATTGAATATTCTACGTCTTCTGATTGGTTAACCTTCTATTGGTGGACTATAAAGTGAGTCAAGTCATTTGGGCTAGCTCACTAGTAAATAATATACACAAAAAAAACTGCAGCACGAATACCACCAGGGTCGATTTGTCAGGAAGGGCACCTCCTGATGTTATGAGACTGGAGTGGTAGATCCCAGCGCGCGGCATCTTTGGAAAGTGGCTGAAAACACTACCACGGGTTGACCCAAGCCTTGTGAGTGAAATTGGGTAGAAGGAACGCTTTGGTGGCGTCGGTAGCTGTCACAAGTCATCGTGGCCGTGGGCTTGAGCGTGCTGGCTTTGTTCAAATTGTTGACCACGCTAGATAACACGCTCTTTCCCAGAAACTGTAACAAAGGTCTGCTCAGCATAATTCCAGTTGTGTGTTGAATAAACACAAATGCGCCTGAGCAAGCGTCTGCAATAGGGATTGTCTAGCCGCCCTAGTAGACAGGTATCCTCGAATACGAGTGTCCAGCTATACAAAGTGGGAATTGATTCTTTGTTATTGTCATTCAGATGGTAATAAGTCGCAAAACATTATTGTAAAATATTTTAGGGCAACTTAGTCCAGGGCAAAAGGAATATATTTTCCCCAGAAGCTAAGAACTACGCCATTGGATTATTTAACTCTATTCTAAAAGCTGTGCGTACTTTTTAATGCTTCACATTATATATCTGACAACTAATTGGTTGATTCCTGCGCAACAACCCAATAATTGCTGGGAATTATTACTGCAGTTGCATATGTGTTAAAATATCAATAGCTTGAAGCATAATATAGATAAAATGAAAGAAAAATTATTTAATTAAATGTACCACAAGACAATATTAAAGAAAACCAATAAAGCGTGAACACGTTTTTGTCCTTGATATTAATTCAGTATTCACTGTTCTATGACACTTCCACTTATGAATTTAAGACTATCGTATTAGAAGTAAGACATTGATCCTATATGTGTTAGCAGGATCGTAGACAAGGCTACCGAGTCCCTGTTTAGAAAATAAGTTGCCTCCTCCCTGCTACGAAAATGATGTGAAATAATTTTACCTTAAACTGAGTTTTAAAATACACACACATGCTTTGCCATCTTGACTTTATAGACGCACATTCACTCCAGAGGTTTCGTCTTCCTAGGTTATACTTCTCCCTTGAGAGGACGCGAGGGTCATAAGCTGGTGCCTGCGGCGTCTCCAAAAGAAGCGGCGAGAGGACTGAAGTATTTTCAACTTTAATCCCCCGAGGGATGAAGATTCGCCTTATGTCATATTCTGATCGAGCGTTGGGCGTGTGTTTGAACGCTTTTTTACACGTGCACCCCCTCTGACTTCTCCACATCAAAGACTCGGGGGACGGGTCTGAGTATAAGTCAGCTGCTGAGATAGATAGATAGATAGATAGATAGATAGATAGATAGGAACAGATAGGAACAGAATGTGATAGATAGATAGATAGATAGATAGATAGATAGGAACAGTATGACAGATAGATAGATAGATAGATAGATAGATAGGAAGAGGACGTGATAGATATATAGAGAGAGAAAGAGAGAGAGCGTGATTAGGACTCAGAAATTGGGATTTACGTAAAAAAATATACAAATCTTTCGTCACTTGCATTTTGGCCTAGCGTAGGCACTAATGCTTATTCTACGCAAGTTCATGCAACAAGGTGGTGCTGCCTGGAAGAATTGGTCCTTAGAACTAGACAGTGGGAATGCAGGTCTTTGACTTGGAATGACCAAAGATCAAGATTTATCTAGTCATCAGATAGACAATGGACACAATTACCCCAGTCAATATTTCATATTTTCTTTATTATTCTTATTTTTTTCCAGTAAATGACATGATTATTCCATAATATTTTTAAACCTAAGTTGTAAGTCACGATCTTTATTTAAGCATTCTTCAGAAATGTATTATTTCTATAATTATCAAGAAGCAAGCTCGTGGCGTCAGCGTTTTTTTTTTTAACGGCACAATTTGACATGGATTAGACGTAGTTCAGCCTTCTGGAAGTCCAGACTCGATAACTTATTTGATCAGGAATACGGTGAAATAAAATATTTTGCATCTCTAACAAAGAGCGGTTGTGGAAGAACGACTGAAAAAAAAGTATTTCCTTGAATTACAATTATCAATATAGAAGTTCTACCAAAGAAAGTCGACAAAAAATATCAAATTCCATGCTGCGAAGGAAAGACGTGCAGACAGATGAAATTTTATTTTTTCCCAGGAATCTAGTATTCACTAGAGTGAGAAAGAGATAGAGAGAGAGGGGGAACTAAGAAAAGAAAGAAAGAAAGAAAGAAAGAAAGAAAGAAAGAAAGAAAGAAATTATTATAAAAACGAAAAGAGAATAGAAGAGAAAAACTAAGATAGATAAATAGAGAGCGAGAAAGGATAGGAACACTATGGTAGAATGGAGAGAAAGAGGATAAGAACACTGTGGTAGAAAGAAAGAAAGAAAGAAAGAAAGAAAGAAAGAAAGATGGCAACAAACAAAGAAAGAAAAAAGAAACAAAGAAATAGTGATAGAAAAACAAAGAGAGAAAAACGCTATGATAGATAGATAGATAGATAGATAGGAACA